GACCGAAGGGGAAGAGCCACCCCAGGCTGCCTTCCAGCTCCTCGGCTCCATGGACCCCCAGGGGTACTGAGCAATATGCTGTCCCAGCCCTCCCAGAGGCCCTGACCTCCCAGCACTAAAGCTTTAAGTCTCCCATCGAGCCTCACCATAGGACCGCGCGCAACCTTCTAGAACTGGAGGGCAGACTCCAAACTGCAGCCAGTCAGCCTAGAACAAACCCTGCCCCGACCTTCAGCCGGGAAGCAGCTGGACCAGTCTGGCCACTTTCTGTCCTGGACTCTGACCTAGGAGCCCTGGTGTCTGGCCAGAGTGGCTGAAGATTGGAACAGTTGGTGGGGGGAGGGGGCAGTGTGCACCCCATAAGTAAGCACCTCACTGGGGTTGCTCCATGGGGTCCCTAGGGCCAGGGTGGGTTAGTGGAATTACCTGCATTCACCAGACAGAAAGACCATCTCCGTTTGTCCCAGAGACCGCTTCATGGGTGCCAAGGGGACAAAGAACACATTAGAGTCAAGCATTTGAATCCATCATTCTGTGTCCACAGGACTGTCTCCCAGTGCTGCATCTCAACATGACTGTCTTACAGAAAACTCCCTCCTGCCTTCCAGCACCTCAGTTTTGTTGAAACAGAGCTTCATAGAATAGCAGTACCAGCAGATGCTGACAGCCACGGTGGGTGGCGCCTCCCCAAGGGACAAGGCAGGAGACAAGCATTTCAAAAACACTGAATGGTGTGACTTCCCAGGGACTCTGTTGACAGCCCGAGGCTCTTAAGTAGACAGCAGTCATTTGTAATCAACAAATTCATCTGTTGCATCTGAAACTGCAGCTAAGATCTCCACTAGGTCTTAACCCCTGAATGGGCTCAACTTTCCTTTGGTTGAGCTCATGAGCTGGGAGAGGTCACCCCACCCCCTCTTCACCCAGGAGAAACAAGAAAGGCCCAGGTCACCTGCCACCGACTGCACCTCTCCAGAGACAGGGGAGCGGCTAGAGCTTCACAGGCAAGGCTCTGCCCCGGGATTGGGTCCTCGAGGTGTGTGGGTTGTTCATTAGCCGTCTGCTTGCTTTTCTTTTTCTTTCATTACCACAGTGGGCTTCAAGGGCAGTGCCAGGCCTCTGTATGAGAGGTGGATTTATGCTATGGCAATTTGGGCATTCCCCGGCCTTCTTTCTGTTTCGACGTGACATGGTTCTGTCTTACTAAACTGGAGGAAGCCACAATAAAGCCACCTTCCCTCCAGTCAACAAACTGAAATGCCTACTGTGTGCAGGGATGAGTAGGACCAGAGCTGGGTGCAAAAATGTACCCGTTGAGTGACCAAGAGCTGCCAGTTGTTTTTCCTGCACTATCTCATTTCCTCTGAAGAGCGGTGGCCTTTGCAACTTTTTCTGAAAGCAAACTCTGTGCCAAGTGCTGTTCCAGGTTCTTCCCACATCTCACCCTTACCTCCACCTTATGAGTTAGGCACTGCCTCTGTTTCATAGTTGGGGTCACTCAAGCTCAGAGAGGTCCCCTGGGGAGGGGCCGAGGTGGGGGCTGCGGGAGCTGCATTCCACTCTTCCCCAGTGAGCTGTGGCCGCAAGGAGGGTTTGGAAGGATCTTTCCCAAGACATGAAAGGGAACCGGACTAGCCCTGCTGACAGAGAATTGGTTGCTCAGAGGGGGAAGCTGACCTACCTGAAGTCACACAGCCAGGTGAAGGCATAGTTGGCACCACATCAGGTTTGTCAACTGTTGGGGTAATGGTCTTTTCACCCCAATATTGCTGCTGAAATGATAGCCCCTGTGCCTGCCACCTTCCTTTAGGCCACTCCGTGCCAGGGCACAGGTCCAGGGCCTGGCCAGCATCACAGGCACTTGGGGTGGTGCTAAGGTCACCTTGAATGCTCTGAACTCCTGTGCAGATGAACCCTGCTGGCTGCTGATGCCCTCTGGGGAGTCAAATGTTAGAGAGTGAGAAATGGATTTCTTTCCACTTGAGCTTGTCCTTCCTGGCTCTGGGTCAGTGTCCTGTTTTCCACAAATCTAAAGGATCCTTGAGAACTGGACCCATTTGAGCTCGCCTATCCTCAGGGTGGGTCATGTGGAGCCTGAACCACATGGCCTGACGTCCAGCTCCCTTGCCTCCGCTGCTAAAAGTGGTGACCCCACATGGAACCCCACACTCCGAGGCAGCCGTGGCCCCATCCTGGGCTTGCTCGTTTGCCTTCCTCATTCCTCCCGTCCATGCTTCTCTCAAAAACCTGGCTCCAAAGCATCTGTCAGAGAAACAACTTGGAAATGCACCGACCTAGGGATGCAAAAGGAACATGTACTCGCCAGCTACACAGTCTCCTCTGGAGGCTTGGCAATGACACGGGACAGGCTTGGGCCGTGACAGTCAGCGAGAGGCCAGCCAGAGCTGTGCCCACACCCGCACGCGAGAAAGGGCCTGCAGGGTAACAGTAGCTGGATTAGGAGACGAGGTTATAATTTTCCTCTCTAGTTTTCAAACTTTGTATAAAATGCTGCCAGATTGCTTTTGTAATAATAGCAATAAATAAAACCAGCTCTCTTCAGAACTCACTCTCCTTTAACAGCCCATGTGGTCTTGCTTTCTCCACCCCTCAGGCACTGGAACCCACCGGCCGGAGCCACCCCGGGGTCTCCGTGCAAGAAACTGCAGCTGCTAGGTAAGTGGTGCACAGGTGCTGGACCCCACCATGGGGTGGGGGGAAGAGACAGTATTTCACCTGTCTTCTTCACATCCACAACACACACATCTCCCCCATTCACACACACCCCCTCTTAGGTGCACTCACACACCTCTCACTATTGCACACTCCTACATACCCCCTCTCAGGCAAACTCACACACTTTCTTTTCACCCACATCCTCACTCACACTCTCCCCACGTCTCTGTAATGAGTCTGTGTTAGCGCTGCAATGTGTAGATCCTTTCCCAACGCTGGCTGACTTTTTGAGGAGCACAGTCAGGTTTTGGCTAACCCTAGACCCACACTTTATACTGACAAAACTTCCTGAACTCTCCACCGGCAGACACCTGGGGTTTTAAGAGCCTTAGAATATTTACTGGGAAAAGATAACAGACAAAGCCTCAGAGTCCACTGTGTGGGTTTGAATTCTGGTCCCCCTCTTGCTAATTCTGGTGGCCACGCACATGTCCCCTAGCCTGACTGCCCCTCAGTGCTGGTTCCCTCTTCCTAGGGCTGCTACGAGGACAAAATGTCTTAATATTTGCAAAGCAGGTAGAACAATGCCTAGCAAGCTGTACACACGCCACTAAAAGAAGAAAGGAGCCATCTGAGACCACCATTAACCTCCCATTCAGTCCCTCCTCTCACTCCTTGGGCGTTTAGTGAGCACCTACTGAGTTCATTAGCCAGACATAAAGAGCATACGTCTTTATGTCCCTCTAGTAGGAAAACAGACAGCAGAAGACTTTTTTTTCTTTTAGGAAAATATGATCATTCTAAGCAGATCTGCATATGATTCTAAGAAAGGCTGGAGAGCAAATATATACCTATTCCCATGTACACTTAAAAAACCCAAAAACCCTATGTCTGAATCCTTCAATCCATTTCAGATTCAATTCAGTCTGAGTTGTGAATTTAGACCCAGGTTTGGTACACACTGGGCTTTTGGAAAGTAGTTTCATTCAGGGCCATTTATTCAGTCACTCTGGATGTTTTTCTCCCTGTCCCCACGCCCTTCTCCATGATCGTCCAAAACCTCATCTCTGGGTTCACCCCCAGCCCTCAGTGAATGTTTGGGGGGTGGGAGATGGGTTTGATCAAACCAACCCTCAATCATGGAAAAACAAATCAAAAAACCAAACACTGTCAAGTCGGGAGAGCAGAGGACCGGGAGCCTTCTCCACTGATCACCTAGCAGCGGTTGCATTTTAAAAATCTTGGTGGTTTAACTCAAACCAAAGACTTGGTTTAACAGCTGATGGAAAAGAAAATTCAGTCAATCCTCACTCCTCCCCCGAACCCGTTCGATTCCTTTGAATGCAATCGGCTTTTTACCGCGCCGAACCCAGCCAGGCTGGTGTGGGTGAGCCAGGCCCGCCATTCTGGCCCTGGGGGGGGTCCCGACTCGGCGAGAGCGGCCGGGGCGCCTCCGCGGGGGCCCACCCGCCTCCCTCCCGCTGCAGCTTGCGCGCTTCCTCCGCCCAGCAAGCCCAGGAGGCTTCGGGGAGCGCTTGGCACTGGGACGCGGCGGCTGTCGCCCGCGGTGGGCCCGACCGTCTGGCCCCCGCGCCCCCAGCCCTTCCCGGCGCACGCAGCCGGCGGGCAGCTTCTCGTCGCCCCCAAACTTCAACCGGCAGACGCTGGACGTGCAGCCTGGCCACTTTCCTAAACTCCGGGCGCTGGAGCCGCTTGCCAGAGCCCGGGCAGCAGCAGCCGGCGCGGCCGCGGGCGCAGCGCGAGGACCCGCCAGTGCCAGGGCTGGGGCGCGCGCTGCGCTCCCGGGGCCGGCGGGGGAGCGGCCGCCGCCGCCAGATGCACCGTCGCCTCCCGGGAGCCTGCGGCATTGATCAAAGGCTCGGAGGCCACGAGGCCATTCATCTCCCGGGACTTGCGGCTCTTCCCGGAGCGGAAGGGTCAGGAAGGAGCTCCCGGGAGTGGGCGGGGGCGTACGAAGTGGGGGAGCAGAAGAAAGGGTGCTGGGCGGGTGGGAAACCCGTCTCTAGAGCCTTCTGTCCGGGACCCGGGTCTGCTTGCGGGGCGGGAGGGGCGCCCAGGGTGACTCCCGGAGCCCCGAGCTCCTCTCCGCGCAGGGCTGGTTACCCCAGGTGGGCGGACCCCTCCTCCGCCGATACCCCCGCAGCATCGCCACGATTGCTTTTTTCACCTGAGTTCTCCCCCCACCCACCGACGCCGGCTCCGAGGGTCCAGGGAGCGGGGGCGAGGCTGCCCCCCAAGCGCGGGCGCCCCGGTCGCCCCGCGGCCGCCCGCGTCCCGCGCGGCCCGAGCTCCCGCGCGCTTACCTTGACGAGCCGGAGCTGCGGGCGCCGTCCCATCCTCGGGCTGCTCCTCACCGCGCCGGATGCCTGGGGGCCTCGGACATCCCCGCGGGGCCCGCGGGCGGCGGCGGCTCCGGGGGCGCGGGGCGGGCGGGCTCCCCCGCAGCGGCCCGGCCCGGCGCGGACACTCGCCTGCGCGCGCGGGGAGTCCGGCCGCCGCGTCCCGACCCGGCCCGGCCGGCAGCCGCCTCTCGCCCGCGGGAGCCGCCTCGCCCCCGCCGCCGCCCGCCGGGTCCACGCCGCTCGCGGCTTCGGCTCCCACCCTCGCCTCGCGCGCCTCCCGCCGCCCCTCCCGCCCCGCGGGCCTCCCCCGCGCCTCGCGCCTCCCGCCGCCCCTCCCTCCGCGCCGGCCCCGCCGACCCCGCCTGCGCCGCGCCGAGTGCGGCAGTCTCGGGGCGCGCTGGCGGCGGCCGCGGCCGGGAAAGCCGGGGTGGCGGGGGGGGGGGTGGCCTGGGAGGGGCGCAGCTCCCCGCCTCCCGCCCGGCGTGAGGTCCGGGTCTGGGGCACTGGAGCGGCGCCGGGAATCTATGGGGGGCTCTGGGAGGCGAGAAAGGGGCAGCCCAGCAGTCTAGGGCCGCCGCGGAAATCGGGGGCAGCGGGGAGCTGCGTTCGGGGAGTTCCCGCCCTGCGGCCCCGAGGCGCTCCCCACGGCCCCCACCTCGGCAGCGCGCGGGGCTGGCCCGGCGCGCCTCCCCCGGCCCTGGGCGCAGACGGGCGAAGGCTCCCCCTTCCCATTCATTCGTTCCCTGCAGTCACTCGTTCACCCGCGTGTCCACCCATCCATCTACAGACTAGGCTACTGGCCAGTGTGATCACAGCGGGGGGCTGAGCCTGAGAACCCCTCGATGAGGGGAAGGGGGTGACCGCGGCGCCCCAAGGACTGGTCTGCACCTGAACGCCACCGAGGGGAAAGCGGAGCTTGCGATGCGCTGCAGCCTTGGGGGGTTGGGGGTGCGCGGGTGCGCGGGTGGAGGAGCAGCCACCACCTGGAGGGGCCGCAGCGCCCCCTCTCGGCAGAGGCCGCAGCAACGAGTCAGCCGCGCGGCCCTTCGGGTCACGCTCCAGGTTAGGGTACCGGCTCCCCATGCGCCCCCCAGCCCCGGGAAGTAGCTCCTGATTCCTGCTGCAACTTAAACTTTGTCCTCCGCCTGCCGCTGGAACTTTTGGCTTCCTCCCGCCAGATCTGAGCGCAAAGTAGAGAAATCACCCCACTCAGCAGAGCGCGTCCCGCAGCCCCAAGGCAGCCCCAAGGCAGCCCCTTCCGAAGCAGCTGAATGTTCTGGGCAGAGCAAGGCCCAGAGTCACGCCGTCAGCCAACTTGGAAAACCAAGCTCTGAACCTAACTGCCCGGACTCTGTGTGCTGCCGGCTCGCCCGCTCCTCCCTCCACCCACTCCACCTCGCAGGGCCCAGGGGCCCCGGTCTTCCTTTAAAACGGTTGCTGTTGGGCAGAGGTCCCGCGACCCAGCAGGCACTACATCCTGGCTGGGACACAGAGGCCCGCAGAAGAGCAAGGCAGTGACTTGCCTGGAGCCCTATAGCTGGTCCAGCTCTCAGCCTCCTAACGCCCAACTCCAAATGCCTGGAGAACTGGGTTCTGCTGGAGTTTGGGCCTCTGAAGTGGGGAGGGACCTTGCTCTGGAGGCCAGCTGGTCATACTGGCTTAGTTACCTCAATGGCACCTTTGAGAAGTACACAGACCCTGTTGAATTCATGCCCTGGGGGTAACTGTGCTGTGTATGGCACCGACTCATCCCAGCTAAACTCGGAAGAGATGTCTGCCCCAGTCAGATTGCCAACGTGTCGTTCTTAATAAAAATGAAATGCATAGTGGTCGCGTGTGGTATGGTGCTGGGGTCCGGCAGCCTGAGGTTGAGTCTGGGCTTTTCCGCTTACAAACCTGGAAAATTATTTAACACTGTTCTAACACTGTTCTATAAACCTGGAAAATTATTTAACACTGCCTCAATTTCCTTATCTGTCAAATAGGGGTAGAGATATCAACCTCCTGGGGTTATTGGGAGGTTAAAATGAGTTAATATTTGAACAAGGCTTGGAATGATAACTGGAACGTAGGGAGGCCTCAGTGAAGGTTGACTATAGTTACATCACCATCACCATCATCATCACCATCAAGGGCACCATATGCTGATGTCAAATGTGTGGGCAGCATGGGCCCTGCTGGAAATTCTTGATGGGAAGCAGAATTCTTCATTAGAAGGTCTCAGCAGAGATTGTGGAACCAGAGTTGTGGAAGCTGGGGGTTCTTCAGGGAGGTCTACCCAGCCCTGCAGAGGTCTGGCTCCACCCTGGCCCAAACAGATAGCCTCAGATTTCCAGATTCTGTGTTTCCCTTTGTTTAATAAACAACCATTCAATTTTGCCATTTTGAGCCCCATATCCTCCCCTTGACATGATCTTTAAATACGCTAATGCCATCGATTAGGCTGTAATGAAGTCTTGCTCTTCTTGGTTTTTTGGCCTGGGATTCAGACCTCTTTCTAAAAGGGCATATGGATGGCACATCCTCCCCTGGGTGGTGACTGTCTGTGTGGATTTCATTGACTTAACCTCAAACCGCCCCTCCCCCCCACAGGTGGCAGGAGGGTGGCTTCCATATCACTCTAAGGCCTACTTATTTATAGTTTCGGCCTTGACCACCTTTGGGTTACGAGAGCATTATGTTTAACATCCCTTCTGTAAAAAGATTCCAGATCCCCTTCATTTGTCCTGAAACTGCTTCCTTCCACCTTCAAGAGCCTGCTTTCCTCTGCGCTGCTTGATGGAGCCTCCCCCCTGACCCCCTCTGCCCCCCAAACTGCTCCAGCCAACCAGCTTGGTGGCTCAGGGTGGTATTCTGAGGCAGTCTCTCCATTCACTCCGCTCAGGACAGGCCCCCAGTCCGACCCTGCCCAAGTTCTTCCCACACCTCCGTTGCTCACTCCTTTCCCTGCCTGGGCCCAAACCAGAGTCACTTTCATTCCTAGAACCTGCCAGGTTGGGAAGAAAGGAGATATGTGAGAAATCTAAACAGGAATAAAAGACAAGTCTTTGTTTTTCTAAACAGAGACGGCTGTGGGGGCAAGCAGTGACGAGTGGGACCCCGTGAGGAAGGCTGAATGTGCCCCTCGACATGCGGAGCCCTTTGGCTTTTACAATAGACATCCCAAGAAGTGCGGGGGGGCGGGGGGTGGGGTGGGGTCTGCATTGATACTTCTCAGACTACTTATTCAGAAAAATCAGTTCTTGATTTTTAAATTTTGAATCTGCTGCAGACTGATTCTACTGCAAAATACAGTGGAAATGAATTGTTAGAAAAAATGAAATAGAAAAAGACTTATAAAATAAAGCCCAATTAAAAAGGCAGCTCCAGTGCACATGCAACTAATCTGTCAAACTGCTTAAACATTTCTAAATATTCCCCCTCAATTTCTGCACTTGTTTTCTCAAACTGGCAACAGAGAGTTTGCAGACAGATCACGCTTAGGGGAGCGCTGAGCTGGAAGTCATCTGAAGCCTGAGGTCAGGAAGATGGCCTCCTGACGGGAGCAGCTTATAAAATCACACAAGCATGGTGTTAATGACTCCATTCATCTGTGCATTCATTCAACAAACACTTAATGAGCAACAGCAATGTGTCGGTCACTGTTGGATGTAGAGGTTAATAAAGATTAATATAATAGGGCCCTGCCCCTTAAGATGTTCACAGAGAGGAACAGGAGACAGCCACTTGGATAAATAATTAAAAGCTAGTGAAATCAGGTCAATAATAGACCAGGCACCGTGGGCATGGAGGCAGGAATATTAATTCTGCTAGGGGCCACAGGAAAGGTTCTACCAAGGAATTGACATTGTGCTGGGGTCTGGAGGCAGAGAGGCAGCTGCTCAATCCCATAGGCCACTGGCACTCCATAAATAAGTTAATATGTATAAAGGACTTAGTGCAGCACCTGGCACAGAGGAAGTGCTTTCACAAGCATTAGCTTTTTGATTATTAAATCTTAGGTATCACCACCACTATCATCATCATCCACCCAGGACAACCCATCTCTGTTGCTAAGCTTTGGCTTGGGTATGAAGATCACAATAGGCAGCTCAGCTGGGGGGAGAGGGCAAACTGGCCTTGACTCACCCCCTTAGTTAAGGGAAAGAGCTTTCACAGAGGTGAGTTGGGAGTTGAGTATAGAAGAAAATGAGTGTGGACACATGAAAAAGAGAAAGGAAGGTTTTCAAGGCAGGAGGGTTCCTTGGAGACACAGTCCATGGGGCAGGGGAGGGACTGGTCTTCTGGGGACAGGTGATGGGGGTGCAGTGACTGGGTGAGGCTCGGCAGAGTTGAAGGTGGGGTGGGGACAGGCTGAGGCTCTCCTTGGATAGGGGGCTTGATATTATCCATTCGAAACAACAGACAAAACGATCCTGATGAGGATGTGTATGGCAGTTTATACTGCACAGCTCCTTCACAGACACTTTCTCATTTAATCCTTCTAACAACCCCGCAAAGGAGAGTATTAATAGCCTTACTTTGCAGACGAGAAAGCTGAGCTCAGAGGTTGATACCATGCCCAAGGTCACACGGCTGGCGCTGGCACAGGCAGGATTCCAGCCCCATGTCCCCTGCTCCCACACCAGATATTTTCCAGGGTACCATGGAGAGGTGACCTCCGTCTAGCCCAAGAGACCATTTCCCAAGAGGGAAATGATGTTCTAAGGCCAATTTTTCCCTTTTATCCCAGTGGGTAGACAAAAGGGACAGGTGGAGACAGCCACCGGACAGAGATTGGCAATGACAGCAAGGGTAGCCAACTCAGGTGGCCTTCTTCCCCCTCCCCTCCCCCCTCTTCCCCTCCTCCTTCTCCTCCCCTCCCCTTCCTTCCCCTCCCCAGATCTGGACCTGTATCAATCAAGGGCAAGTGTGCTTACCCTGGGCATAATTATCATATTTTTGCATTTATTAAATGTATCCAAAAGGGTTCTTGAAGTTGTTTTAAGAAAACTTTTTAAAGGCGCACTGAAGTAAGAAGGGT